GTCACGTTTTTGAGTTCATATGCAACCAATAAACAACTTGCAGCCTGATTCTCAGATGATGTCCTCTTCTCTCCTGTGGCAATTTAAGCAGTTAAAGAACACAACATGGTAACAACATTTGCATTTTGGTCGTGGATGTTCTGACTTCTTTGTATTTTTTTCGCTTAAAGTCCTAAACTGGTTATTCCTTTTAAGTTTTCTTTCATCATGCGTTTTGGGTTCCGGTTAGCATGGGCCCAAGCTATTTTAAAATTATCATTTTGAGATCGTACACTTGCACTGTACATTGCGCCGTCTTTCACTCAAAAGATGCTCTTCAGCGTTGTTGAATGACCTGCTGTTTCTTCTCGTGCTTATTTTGATACACAAATTTAATCAGGGGCACCCAACGAATTGTGACTGTGAGCTAAATTTTCCATTCATCTATGATTACTCAAATCAGTACAACCAAATTGAAAGAAAAGAAAAATGAACATTATTTCCATCATTTCCATGTACAAAACCAAGACAAATTCCTCACAGACTTGTACATTGTATCCAGATAACTAGTTCTCTTGGTGCATGTAAAAACATATAGGCAATAGCCGAAGGAAAAAAAGAACACCAACATACCTGGCAATTTATTCATTGACTGTGATATAAGCTCTGTGTTGGAAACCAACATTTCTATCTCGTCTTGTAGGCAAACGCCGGCAGTATCCTTCAAAATTTCTGTTTCTACAACCAAAAAGATCTTCATTAAAGTTTTTGACATGTTGATATCCCTTAATATAACAGATAGTAAATGTTAAATAAATAACATACGATTTAAATTTGGAGTTCACAGAGCACATAATCATTAAAAAAAAAACGTTTGTTACCCTGAGCTTGGCTGGTGACCTTGTTTTTAAATTCATCTGCATGGAATTCACTGCGCGGTGCATGGTAAGAATTAAGGGCATCATCAAACTCCTGCCTCGATGCATTCTGCATCTCAATAGCCTAACTCAACAAGTCAAATCTAACATATCTCTAACAAATGCATAAACAGTGATATTTATGATACTATTTAGTTAATGTGTTCAAGGGACAGAAAATGATCAGATGTGAAGTGGCAGGTTAGTAGCAATAAATTAACAAAGCTATTTTAAGCATACTGAGACTGTTAAACATAAAAATTTTAAGAACAGTTAAATGGAAATATACCCTTAACGTGAAAAACTCACTTAGGAAGTAAAAGGATTGAACCTCTTTTTCAATTTATGATGAATGGTAGCGTGGCAAATTTGATCTGAACAAACCAACAACACCAGCAGCAAATATTCATTAGATACTCATGCGTAGATAACGTTTCAATTTCCAATTGACCCTCCACTGAGCAAGGTCTCCCACTGTGGCACCATATTTTATCAATTAGGCTGTTTCTGAAGAGAAATGCTCGCAATACACCACCACAAATGCTTGGAAAGCAGCCGTCCATAGAGTACTAAAGTGGTGACATCGTAAAAATGAAATTATGCGAGTTGTCAGGATATTCTGAAAGAACAATGTTCAAGAGGCCTACTTGCCAAAAATGAGCATTTTGGGGCAAATTGTCTCTGAGATCATAGCCCAGTTATGCTTAGATAACTCCAAACAAACCCTTCTAAAGTTTGTTTTCTTTTACTTGTAATAAATATCCCCTGCAGTTTACTGCGTACTATCCCTGAGGAAAAATGGGGACTACTTGTAGTCTAGTGGATGGCAGGTTCATTCTTTTGATAATCGCTTATTTTATTGGTGGTGTTCTTTGTGAAAATAAACAGTTGAACAAAACCACAAAACCTTGCAGTCCATGATGAAGACCATTGCCTTTCCAGTATTGGATTTCTGCTATCGAAATTTTCTGCTGCTGGGTCATCATAAAAATGCAGCTTCACAAATTAGCGATTACAATCTACACCATCAAGAATACACCAGTATATCCTGTCTATCGAACATGTCATCACCATCCTGAAAAACCCATTGAACATTATGAGCACGTTCTTATGTCAGTTGGTCTCCATCCAGAAAAACTCTATCCAGAACTACATTGCCACTGTCCGTCTTCAACTGTGGTACATACTTAGACAGGACAGACATCAGTTACTGAGCCATTTCCCCAGAAAGGTTTGTGTTTAAGAATTCCAAACCAAGAAAACACTAGAAAAACAGTGAGAGCAAGTCTAAGTAACTGTCATCTCTCTCATCAAGAAAAACTTTGGTGCCAACAGGAGTCCAAACAACATAGTGACATTCTTGAGTGGATGTGCAGAACATTTCCACCATGATATGAGGGATATGGTTGACACATACAGTTTTGTAAGGAACTGCTTTGCCTCCCACGAAAGGACATTTAATCTCCAGAACTGTTTTCCTTTTCCCATTGAATTTTATGATTCCATCTGGTGAGGAACCAAGGTATGATTGATTTTGATTTTGCTCATCATTTAAAAGCCAAATTCCAGTTCTCTTACAATATTATTACATTATCTGTTTTTTCCCCACGTAGGTGACAAGAGCGCTGTCTTCATTGGAAGAACCCCATAACATTGCCAAATTTGATTCATTTCCTTCTTTAGTTACACCATGTAAATCATTACATAAATCATTCCAGTAATCAGTCATGGCCTCAGCTTCTTCTAAAAATTTACAGAAAAAAGAGGATGAAAGCCATTACCTGTGTATGATTGACGCTGAAAATATGTGTTACCCCGCCAATTGGTCTATAATTTTAGTTGTTTATCCTTAAAAATTGTAAATTCAGCATTGCACTGGAGATGGATTTTTGTCTTCATTTCTGGCTGACATGTTGCTGAGACCTGATGGCATTACCTGAACATACCTTGACCATTTCCAACTGTCAAGTGGTCAACAGCGTTATTGGTTAAATATCACACAAAAATACAATGTTAAGGAAAACAAATAAAGTCGTAGTCAGAACAATCGGCAGGGTAAGGCATGTTCAGTGTACAGTTATACACAGGTACACTATGGCTTTTCATCCTCTTCTCAATACCAATATGTCTCCAAATTTTAAGAAGAAGCAGATCGTCAGCATGCAGGTGATAGTTTTTGGTTGCTTTATGGATTGTAGTCTTTGAAAGGGTGTAGTTCAACGTCATATATATTCTAGGGGGTCTTAGTTTTCATAATCTCAAAAACTAAGACAGGTCATAGGTCTTAGTTTTCATAACACCCCATGGGTGGTGGTCGGTGGAGATTACAGAAGATTCGAATTGATTGGCACATTTCATGTACATGTGGCGTCACAAGCAGTGATAAGACTACCGTGACTAAATAAAACATGTAATATCTATCTATCATAATATACAATGATGTACACACTACACTGGTATTGGACCTATTACACCTATTAGAGTACAGATCATACATGAATGATAAATAGTAAACAACCAAGGTTCCATACATTCCTTTTAGGCTTCAATGTGTCAATCAAAAGTACTAAGATTCCTCTGTCCAGCTTCGGTCAAAAGATCTACATTACAAGGATAAATATTAACTGCCGTTATACTCACAACCATATCTCTAGGAAGGTTCCTTTGTTTACTAGATGCATTTGTGACTTGTCTCATGGCAGGTGGCGAGTCTTGCAAATGATCTATTTTGTCTGCAAGCAGGGCAATTTGAAGTTGCAACTTCAACACCTGAGTGTGCATGTCATTGGAATGCGATCCTTAAGGCGTACTGGAATTTTCTGGCATCAACGAAATTCTGCTTGGCGTTTGAATCGAACAGCTAGCTGGGGGGGGGGAGGGGAAGTGGGCAGCATATCTTCGTCCATATCCAAATCCATATTTAAAGAGACTTCACAGCTACTCTCGCTTAGTGGACGATGAATGTCCTGACGGTTTCTCGTGACAAGAACGTTAGGACAATCTTGCCCTCGTGGAACCATTACGTAAAAGTAAAAGAATAAGAGAAGGGTTTACTTTATAACAGTTTTTTATTACTACTATTCGTAGCATTTTAGATCAACTACTTCTATATTGACAAATGAACAAAGAAAAGTGAAATCGAAACCAAAGAATCAAAAATAATTACAACCTTACCATGCACTGCTGTGTGATCGGTCTTTGCGGTGAATCTGAAAAAAGCCATGATTACTTCCTGAATTTAGAGAAGTTAGGCGATACATATCGCAGAATTTATAACGAAAAGAAGACAACTCAGAAGGACACAAGAAGAGAACACGTTGCTCGACAAAGCGTAAGCAAAATGACGCTCAAAATGCCACCGACTATACTAAACACCATCAAACTGGTCATTTCATTCACTTGATTGGAGGAAATGGAGCAGGTGAGCATAGGACCTTAACATATTTTGTTTACAAATCAAAAGTGCACACCGTACCCAGGAAGACGTCGGACAACATGGTAGAAAGAGGTAGCTAGGTTGGGTATGTGAGACTCCAAACTTGAATACCATAAGTAAGGAAGGGGTAAATGAGGGAATAGTAAAGCATAATAAGTATAGCAACAGTAACATAGTACCTTTATTTGGAAAATTTACTACCGTTTTCGATAGTTCATTAACATGATTTTTCCAAGTTAAGTCCAGACTAGCTTTTAATTGAGCCACATCCTTGACTATGCCGTCAATACGCTCACTTATACTGGTAACAACAGAGTCCATTAAGGACTTAATCATACTTTGAAGAAGCTCTTGGACGTAAGACTCCACCGAATCCACTAGATCACCAACTTCAAAATCTCTGGTTTCTGGAGGTGGCATGTTGGATTTCTTTTGTTTTTTTTGTTTACAAGACATCTTGTTAATTAGAATAAAGTAATACTATTAAAGTTCCGACGAAAAAAACGAGGCCAGATCAGCGAAAAGAGGAGTGGGTCAAAAACACAACGGCCGTCTTCCCCAACCGCGGACCATACTCGGCCAAGTAATATCCTCTATAAGTTGAATTGAGAAACCGTGACTAGAGCTGTCATCTAATGCAGGCCCCTCAGCTCTTAAGTCATACAAGACCTCATACAATGCTTCTTTCAATGTTTCCCTTTCCGCTGGGGTGTCACTTTTCTCAACTTCACATTATTGCCCGTACGAAACTTGCAGCGCTGTACAGCGTCACCAAATCGCTGCAAAATAGCTGTACAGCTAAATTACAGCTGTTCAGCAGCCTTTTAGAAGCCAAACAGCAGCTTCGTTCAAGTTGCAGCGTGATGCAAAAGTGCTGTGCAGCCTTTGAAGGCTCTTTGAAGCTCTCGGCAACGGTTTTGCAGCGCAGTTGCCGACTTTCAAACGCTGCGAAGTAGCTGCAGTAACGCTACAATTCAGCTGCGGTCGATCTGACTTTCTTGAGCGCCAATAACATGAATCGCCAGATAAAGCCTTGGCACAGATTACAGCTTTTATAACGCGAAAACTTTGACTGTACCTCTAAGAAATGTGAGTAAGCTTGTACGCAAAGAAGATCACTTATTGAATAAACCTCCAAATCCTATGCTTTCGGAATAAAGATTTCAATAAATTTCATTCCGTGAGCGGCGAGTGTGGGAATGTTATCGCTAATTCCCTGGAGACATTCTAGGCCGTAATCTAATTGGTCGGTCGTTTTGCATGAGATCCCATTACATCTCTAGACAAACACAAAACATTTGCGAGCTTTGAATGAAAGACGCAAACATTCTAAGTTTTTTGGCATCGAGTTCTGTTTCGAAATGGAAGTTCTGTTGAAGTTTTTGGATGGAACAGCTCAAACGTATTTGCAAACAATGCATTGAACAGTGACTTCTACGCTAAGTATCGACGAATTGAACTAGAGCAAGCAACACAGATACAAGAATCTCAGCTGGGGTTCGCACTTACAAGATTCTTATACGCTCGTGGTAATGTTCGTTCCTTAGTCCATTGTAAAATTTAACGACGACCAAAGTAAAATTGGGTTGATTTCTTTCATGAAAAAAGTGTAGAAGATCGTGGATCATGGACGAAACGTCAAGGTGAGCAATTTCCAGCTTAGCCCGTCGCAACGAATCAAAATATCATTTGCCTAATGGCTGTGCATGTAAACTTTATGTAGAACAGTCGATGTTATTCTCTTTATTTTTAAAAAAGATAGTTTTCAATGTCTGCATGTTAATGGATGTTCTTACATTCAGATGAGTGACCGTGATTGCTAAATATTTACAAAGCGAGACTGTTGCAGATTTGTTTTATGTCACGTGCTTTTGTAACGTGTATGCGTGGATACTAATAAAGTATAAGTTGCATTTTGACTTTCTAGTGGTTTTTACTCTGCTACTAAGCCGGTTTCCGGACTGCGTTGCGAGATGGCACTAATTTGCATTGTTTGGTTATTCAGTTTTTAGTCGGAGCTGCATTCGCCCCGCGATCGCTCGTCTGCCGGCACTTATGGCCTTTTCTCTAATATAGTTTCCTCTAGAAGTAATTTCCAGTAGGTAGCTTTAGGAAAAAATAAATAGCTTCTTTCGTTTCAAGTGCATGTTTGTTGAAACCATATATTTTTCTTTTTCATTTTCCAGCATACGCGAAACGCTGTGCAACTGACTGGAAAGTTAACGAAAGGATAGACTTTCAGAAAACTATACGGAATAAAAGGGGCTCCGCCAAAAGGAAACTAGAACAGCAGTTGGCAAATAAGGAGAACATGTTATCCTAATTTTTGCCTTGTCATTTATCGTTAGAAATATATCTCTTATGTTAAAGCAAAAAACACTGTTACATTTCCTGCAGTAATAAGTCACGCTAGGAACTCAGTGTCACATATATCATGTATTTAATACACATAGTTTATAGTACATGAAAAACTTAGATCTAAGTAAGACGTTATTTCTATATTTTCTTATTTGATGTAAGCTGTAAAGAAATAAACGAAAGATACGCTAATACACGTCAAAGTCACTGACAATGGTTTATAATGTTCACTCATCCGTAACCCGATCCACAGTGATATTTTTTTCCCGATCATTTTTTGCATATTTGCCAAACCGCATTATCGAATCAGGCGAATGCCATAATTCTTTAAATTTTTGTACACGTTTGCAGCTATTTGGCAGCGCTGACAGCTTTTTTGTGTGTCGTTTCCACTGCTGCTAAACCGCTGTTTATCACTTTCAAACAGCTTCATAGCGCTGCCCGAACAGCCAAAATTTGCGACTGCTGCAGCCGGCCTCTCTGCAGCTATTCTGCAGCACTTCTTGAAGCCATTCTGCAGCGCTGCAACAGCACTGCGCGTTTCGTACGGTTGCTGTCACGGTCCTCAATTGCTGCAAAAGGCAAAGTTTCTGCATCACAACTATCACCAGCACACTTGCAAATTGACGAACAAAAAGAACTGCAGTCACGAGGAGGTTCCAGAGGTTGAATAGTGTTGTCCAATGATTTATACGCAGCAACACGAAAACAGCCTTTAGTACGGACAAAATCTTTGATGTGTTCTTCACACCCAGGTAAAAATGTGAGGCGGGATCCCGCCAATCCCACCTGGGATCCCAGGTTAATCCCAGGTGGGATCCCGCCAGAAATAGGTGGGATCCCTCCTGGGATTATGGAACGTCCCGGGAGGCATCCCACCTGGGATCCCACCTGAAATCCTGGGTGGGGTCCAAGAAACCATCCCACCTGGGATTTGTAAAAATCCCACCAATCCCACCCGGGATCCTGCCTGGAATCCCGGGTGGGATCAAAGATATCCCACCTGTGATATCAGATGGGATATCCTACCTTTCCTGGCAGCATATCGAATGCAGGTTGTTAAATTGATGGGATCCTGCTATCCCACCCTGTCATACACAGGAAATTGATATTTATCGTAGAGGGATTTGAAGACATATGACTTCTGCACCATATTTTTAACTTAATCTGCAAATTTATTAGGAAAATAGAGTTAATATACATGTAAGTCTTGAATAAAATGCAACTTTAATAAGTCTACCTATACATTCAGTCATTGCAGAACATTCAAATATGTGATTAAATCTTTTGAAAAAAAAAACCAGTTGATTATACATGTATAAATGGTAGACATATATGAAAAATAATGTTAATTTCATCAGTTCTTCTTGTTGCTGGTTTTATTTAAGTTTCTGCACTTATCAGCAATTTTTTGCTGGACACCAGTCTTTCCTCCCCAGTTCTTCTCCAACTCCTGGTCACTCCACTTGAATTGTCTTTTTAGTTGTCCTACAGATTAAAAATATTTTATTAGAATTATCATAAATAATATGCCTATAGCTAGGTATATATTTATAAGGGTATATAATTTGCATGGTTATAGAGCAAATTCCCAGGTCAGAAAATTAACCCTGTCTTTGTTGTAGTCTATAGTCTTTATTTTTATAGGCAACATGCATTACTGCAAGGGAATTATTACAGTTCTGTTGAAGCCAAATTTGTTATTATTTTTTTAAAATTATAGACACTACTCACAAGTAATTTCAATTAAATGCAACAATTATAATTGTGGTAGGCCAGTCTGTCTGGTATTAAAAGTAGAGAAATACAGTACCTTTAATGGCTGCCAGGACCATTGGGTTCAAGGGAGTTTTGCCGTTCATCCCCTTGATGTTTGAGATGCGCTGAACCTCTTTTGGAATGAGATTGTCCAAGAGGTTTAGTGCTAATGCCGAGGGTGAAGAAGAATGCTTAACAATTTTGTCAAAACACTCTCTGTCTGTTTTAAGGTTGTATTTCGACTCCCCGATAATAACTGTTAAAGAGAAAAAGATCAAATTAGATTAACACAATTTACTACAGGTGTATTTCAGTGCAGTTGAGTCTGGAAAATTGGAACGCTTCAGTGGAAATTTGAAAAGTTTCAAGTTTTGGGGGTTTGAGTCATCAACGGTAAATTAAAAGCAACCAGAAGGTCTATCAAAAAAGGTTCAAGGTGCAAGTTAGTGCGTTGTGTAAGGTAAAGTCGGCATCAAGCCAAGTGGCGCATACAGCTGGAGCTTATCCTGGTTTCAGTAGCATCAAGTGACTACGAGTACTTCTACTCCCCCGTGGATGGGATGTAAGTCCAGCGCAGGATTACCCCTCAACATTATTTCGCTGGTACCTAATTATACACCTGGATGGAGAATAAGAGTGAAGTGTCTTGCTCAAGAACAGAACACAATGAACCCGGCCAGGGCTCAAACCCGACCATTCAATCCAGAGTCATTACACTAACCATTAGGCCACAGTGCCTTCCAATGTACATTAAAAAATATCATTGCATTTTACAATTATTTATTTTAGTTGGTATTTTTAATAGAAATATACTGATGTTGTATTCTACAATGGAAAACTTACCCATGTCATTCACTTCCTCTGTTGAGGATCCAGCAGCGTCTCCTGAAATTTCTTCATGCACATCATACACAGCCTTTAATTAGAGTTCAAACAGAAATTACATAGAATTGACATATAGTCTTTTTTGTAGGTAGGTTTTGATCTGCTCAAGCAAATGTAGTGTTTAAAATACCCTAGTAAAAATCATCAGAATAGTAAAAATAGTATACACATATGAATTAGAATATCTTTTACATTGGTAAGAAATGGGTTTTGACACGAAAATTGAAAACTATAGCAATATAATACCACGAACACACAACACAAATGCAGTATTTTCATGGAGCAGTTTCATCGAAACCCCAAGTTAAAGTTTGCTTAATTTGCTTATCGTGTAGACTTTTGGCTGATGTGGTGCTCTTCAGTGCCATACACTTTTCTTTTGACTGCAACGAATAAGTATCTGCAAACAGAAAAGTTGAGATTTTAAGGCAAATGAACACAAAAACAACCTGACGTATTAGAATTGAAACGAACGAGTATCGAAGCGTGATCGAAGGTGACCGATCCAACTTGTTCAGGTACGCGAAAAGGGGAGACAACACGGGTAAATCGAAACTCAAATTGAGAAAAACATCACTTACCAACGTTAGGAATACTTTTTGTTGAACCTGGCAGGAAAACGACTTTAAATTGAAGTAAAAAGAAGCGAAGCGTCTTCTTGTAAAGACGCATGCTTTACAGTTCGTCTTCTTTGACTTCAAAGTGCCCGCGTGGAATCAGCCAATTTTCACACCTTTTCATTGGTTGAAAAGGCCCATGTGACGATAAAAAGCTGAATACGCATGTGTTGAATTCACGGGCTTCCCTGGGAACTAGTGGAAACAAAATGGCTGACAAACACCGAGGACTGCAGCTTAGCGTTTCGCAGTTTTGACCATGAATTTCTATTCAGGAGTCGTCCATAATCAAGACGAAGGATCGAAGCTAATATAAAAGAAGAAAATGATGCATGGAGGTATCATTTCAAGTGAAGAAACTCTAGGGAAAAGCTAGAGAGGAAAGTTAAGTCAGGAATGATAGTGATTCATTAATGCTTTACAAAAATCTTCTCACTAAGAAACTATCTGCAAGCACAAAAAAAATTGTAGTAAATGATTTTTAAGTTTTTTAGTTTTAAATACTGCTTTTTACGTTGGAAGTATGCTTTTTGTGTGTTTGTATAAAATAAATATTGTTTTGTTGAAAGTCATTTTTATATGTATGCATGTACAGGACAATTTATGAACGATGGTGTCATTTTCTGCTTATAAAAAAACATTTGTAATTTAATACAATAAGTTGTCCTTTGAAATTAAATTGGGTACAGGAAGACGATAAATTCCAGCCGTATTTTTAACTCCACATGCAGAAATGTAGAATAATAAGTTAATTAGACTGCTTGCTAAGATATGTTTAACACATAATTATATATAACCTACATGGCTGTTAAAAGTCTTCTTAATTAAGTTTGACTTAACTTTTGCAATTACGAATAAATCTTCTAAAATCCCAGGTGGGATCGTACATGTGAAATTATCCCAATGTTCTCAGGTGGGATGTATGTAAAGATCCTGGGTGACAATGTGTGATCCCAGGTGGGATATGTGAATCCCACCCAGGATCCCAGGTGGGATATGTGAATCCCACCCAGGATCCCGGGTGGGATGTGTGGATCCCACCGAGGATCCCGGGTGGGATGTGAAAATCCCGTGTTTTAGGCGGGATCCCAGGTGGGAATGGTGGGATCCCGCCATTAGAGGCGGGATCCCGCTAATCCCACCCGGGATCCCAGGTGGGATTAGCGGGATCCTGCCGGGATCCCGCCTGACTTTTACCTGGGCAATGTCCAACTTGTTTCCCATGATAAAATTAATAACAACGACATGTGCTCTCTTCCTATCTCTGCCAGCTCTCCCAGCCTCTTGATGCTGATCTAAAATCGACCGAGCTGGCCCCCAGTTGATGATAAATCAAACGTCTGGGAAGTTGACACCCATGCAGAGTGCTGTGGTAGCAATAATCACACGTTTTACACTACAAGACTTGAACTGTTCCATCACTCTGTCTTTGCTACTTTGCCAGGAATTAGAGTGATAAATTCCTATTAAGCAGTTGTCCTTTACAGGCGAACAGTTAGGAAAAAATACTTTCTTCCCCAGCTGAGACATAAGATGGTTCAGAATGACGGCAATCTCGTCCATTGCATTACAGAACACAATTGTCTTTGGGGTGATGATCTCCTCCTTTTTGACAAGGTCAACAAGCCCGTCGAGTTTTCTTAACTGTTGCTCTTTTTTCAATTTTTGGACTGAAAACCGTAAATTTAACCGGTTTGGACTCACATAAATAGCTTCTGCATTTTCTGACAGATTCAGGACTTTTTTTATTGTTTCGCGAGTTGTTGGGTCTGCTGTTCCCGTTAATGCACCAACAGGAGTACCTTGAAAGAGAAGTGTTACAATGTATAAGCTTATTGTAAGTTATATGGTTTAAAGTCAGATGATCAAGACATTTTGTTGCAGTGCTGCGTTTACTTTCCAAAAAAAGTCACTTGGTTTAATTAAAGCAAATGTAGCGTATTTCCTCGAATAATAGCTGGGGGTGATTGTTGTTTTTTTTCGCACCAAAAGGGGTGATTATTGGAGGGAAGGCAATTATTTCAGATATTGCTTACTAGAAGTTGTGCCCAATAATAAAATTTTATAATTTTTTTGGGCTATCGAGGTTATCGACTCTTCAGAGGTAGAAGACACGACTGGGGGAATTCATTTGTAATGCCAGTTAAGCATCCTAATTCGCTATGAAACTTGAAAAAAAAAACGTGTACAGGTCAAAACCACGGCTTTGTGTCAAACCAAATCTCCCAAGCATTATAGAAAACGTTACAAAATCCAAAAACTGTTACATTCACCAAAATCGCAATCCGTTTCAATCTGCTTTGTTTTTTGCGGTTATTTTTATGTTTCACTTATTTGGGTGGCAGTTCTCACAATTCAAAAAAATATTTCCTGACGCAAGCTATGAAACCAGTATGCACACCAAGTTAAGTGTACCATGCCAAAAAATTACCGTATATACTTCTGATACCAAAAAGCTTATGCTTACTTGTTTTACAAGAAGAACTTAGCATCCCAAGTTCTCCGAATGATGCATGGAAGGCATCTGTTTTTCCGTTTCTTGAAGACCTG